TGCTTAGCGTTCAACTGAAACAGGACCCACAAGTAAATATTTACACGGAGAAGCGAGATTTGAAAATTTTGCTTGAAACGTTCTGGGGGCTGGAGGAGAGGGGGACATGACGGAGTTGATGTTCAAATTCCAAGTTTTACCCTAAACTTATTAAAAAAAAGCATTGCTTTTTAAACCCTAAACTTACGGTGGAATTATTGATATTTTCAAAGTTTCGGGGGTTTTGTGATGATCTTACAAAGTTAAGAGGGGCTATCTGATACTTAGCCTTCTACTTACATGTGGATCCACATGCTTAAATCTTGGATCATAATTACCCGTAAAAAAATTTATTATGGCATAATGCAGAATTCTATGTATTTGGAGCAAAAAATAAAACATGGAAATATTTACTTTAAATAATAACATAGTTTGAAATCACGAGAGCAGCCAGGAGAAGAGTGATCTATCGCAGAGAGAGAGAGAGATGCCTGAACCGCATTTACGAAGCGGTTTCAAGGCCGACCACAACGCCGTTTTAACTCAATGATATTTGCGAGCTGACGGCTGGCACCTAAAATCAGAAAAGGCGCGATAGCTCAAATTCCCGCCTTCAATTTATTCCGCCTGCTCTGCCCATATATAAAAGGGATGGTTGCGGGCGGGCGGGGGGGCGCATTATACTGTGTTCAAGAGATCAACTGTTCAAATTCCACGATCAAAATTTCTAATTCTCTTAAATTTCCTGTTGATTTCTCAATTTTAGTGTCTAATATGAGGGAGGATCTTCATTCTTTCAGATCACCCGTTCATTGCCCACCAAATGTTCGACGCTGGCTCAAGGTATTTACTCTTAACTGGTCGTTACCATAAATTGATGATCCCAAGTCTCTCAAAATAAAATGGATTAAATTAGGGAAAATTTTGTTCTGATGCAGGACCTGAAGCCTACTGCTTCAATTTTGGTTGAATATTTTCCCCCTTGAATACAATATTGCGTGGAAATCAACTGATTGGGACTCCTCTGTGCAATGTTAGATCACCGCAGCAAGGTACAGATTAGGTTAAGCTAACGTAAAGATGCATTTCCCCCACTACGACTAGGGGTGGAAATGAACCAAATAATTAACAAATAGTTCGATAATTGTTCGAATAACTATTTGGTCATATTTGATTCAGTAGTTCATTTACCACTAAACAAATATTTTTTAGTATTCGAGTTTACTAACGAATAGAATTTAACCAGATGTATATTCGATTCGTTTGTTTATTAAATATTCGTTTAAAATTTGATCACAGCTTATTATTTGTATTATTGCACATATCGATTCGTTTGTTTATTAAATATTCGTTTAAAATTTGATCACAGCTTATTATTTGTATTATTGCACATATAATGTCATATTTTTAACTCATTTACCATTTCTACTTCATTTTTATATACTGATTTTAAGACTTAAATAACCTTAAATTTGTTTTCTAATTAAAATTTTGATTTAAATATATATACATCATATATTATAAAGGAATAATTTTAATTTATGAATTTTAATATTATTTGAAAATTAAATTGTTTAGCGGAATAAATATACTTTGATATTCAATAAGTATTCGTGAATAGTCATGAATATTTAACAAATACCAAGTATTCGAGTTCAAATTCGAAAAACTAGATATATGAATATTAGAGTCCGCATTCAAATTCGATAATTTTAAACAAATACAAATACGAACATCTTAGTATTCGATTCGATTCGATCGTTTACCACCCTACGACTTTAAGTTATTGAAATTGAGCGGGGAAAGATTGAACTTTGATAGATTGCATACAAAATCTCTTGTTTTTCCACAGTACTCTCCATAACTATAGGCGTCAAAAATTGCATATAGGTTCCCACACGCAGTTCGAAACGGAGAGAAGGCGACGAACGCTATTATCCGAGTCAGAGAGGATTATCCAAGTCAAAGAGGATCATCCGATGCTATAAAAAGAAGCGAATGAACGCACATGAAACGTCGAAACGTGTGAAACGACGAAGCAAATACAATCAGGAGGACTCTAGAGTGACCCGCACGAAGAAGTGAAATTTTGACAATGATGAGATTTGAATCCGAAAAATCTCAAAAGATAAAAGTTGTAGCTCTCTTCGTCAGTTTTTCAACGCATCTTGAATCACTTCATTCCGAGGTCGGACGAGAGAATTAAAGCTAAAATAGCAAAGACAGTACAAACTGTCTCGGAGAATCCGAGTCACCTCAAAGTGACTCGGAAATTCCGAGTCACTTCGAAGTGACTCGCGTCCAGGTCAGCTTCCGACGTGTTTTCTGATAAGATTGGTTTCTAGAACTCCTTGGGGTCATCCATAAACATGTGGGGTTATCTTTAAACGTGTGGAAGCTGTTACACAACCGAAAACCCACCTAAACGGATAATAACAGTTGTTCTTCGATCCTATCCACAAACACAACATTTAAAATCTATAAATACACCCCTAGCATCCTCATAAAGACAGATATGAATGGAGCCACGAATTTCGAATTTTAGAGGAGCTAGAACGAGGTTCTGACGAATTTTAGAGAGGCTAGCGAGATCTTGGCGAATTCCTGTGCATAAAGAGTGGATTTCGAGAGATATGAAGCCTGTTCCACCATTCCTTGAGATCAGACTTTATTTTGATCTCGATAAGAGTAGTAATCTCACTTTGACGAGATTATTTACTTCTGCGATTGTTTTCTTTGTGAAGCAAGATTATTGATCTTTTATTCTGATCAACCGGATCTGATCCACGATGGTCTACGGATAAACCTCGGTACATGCAAAGATCCCACGCAAGCAGTGTGTGATAAACATTCTCTGCTTGTGTATGAAGAGAGTTGTAACCTTTTTATTTTTATTGTGTAAGAAAGTCTTATAAAAGACTAATTTTACTTTTTGAACTTATTGTAACGATCGAAGTTGTAATGAGTTCC